AGGCCCCTCGCTTTTGCCTCTCACTCCTGGGCGCTTTTCGGAGAGCTTCTGGAGGTAAGTGGTGTGATTTCCCCAGTGAGGTCCAGGACCCTCCTGTCTCAGATGAGGAAACCGAGCCGCACGGAGTCTGCCACATGCAGCTGCATCTGGGTCTCCGGTTGGCTTAGTCAGCTGACCCCGGGGTCCTGCAGGCCCAGGGCCTCCTCCCCCTGCTTCCCTCCGCTGAGCCCGGGGCACAGCCTCCTGGCTTTCTGCCTCTAGACCAGGAAGGGCGAGCCCAGGCCCCTCACTTCCCTCCTGTCATCCTTGCTCTGCACCACGCTGGCCATGGCTGGCGGTGCCTCTTTTGCTGTTTTTATTTTGAACGCGTGAGGGCTTAGCAGGTGCTTTTTGGTGAGAGTGGTCCCAATAAAACAGAATTTGTTACTCCCACCTCCAAAGACCGCCAGCCCCTCCTCAGCTGGCAGCATTCATGCACAAAGGAGGATACATTCCTCATCTTATTCTATCTCACAGTTACTATCTGGCCACATTCCCGTCACAGGTGAGGAAACTGAGGCTCAGGAAGGGTCAGAAAGGTAAGCAAGGTCATGTGCTGATCGATGAGTGTTAAAGAGAATTGCTAAATGAAGATTTTGATTTTCAAATAAAAAATAAAGAAGCACTTACTATTGCACGCTCGGAGTGATTAGCATGATTAACTGTAATGACTCATTTCCTCCTCACAAACATCCCATTATTACCCTCATTTTAGAAATGGGAAATCTGAGGCACAGAGAGGTTAAGTAATGTCCCAGGGCCACACAGCTAGGAAGCAGCAGAGCCAGGATCTGAGTCCAGCCAGTCTGGCTCCCGTGGCCCTGCACTTAGCCACCCTGCCAAACCATCTGTGCAGAGTCAGGTCTACAACAGCTCTATCCACCAGAACTTTCTGTGCTGCTGGGAATGTTCTGTGCCTGTTCTGTCCAAGATGGTAGGCACTAGCCACGTGTGGCTGAGGAACACTCGAGATGTGGCTGGTGTGACTGAGGAGCTGCTGAGGGTGGGGAGGCAAGCAGCCCCCCACACCCAGGGTGGGCCTCTGGTTTCTGAACAACGGCCACATGAACAGCCAGAATCTTGAGCGTAGACAGAAAGTCCTGGCATCACAGGCCAGGCTGCCCACCTGCCCTAGAAAGAAGGGAGCAAGATGGGGAGAGGTGAAGGAGCGGACCCTGCCCCGCGGAGCCAGCCAGGGAGGACAGGCAGAGCCAGGTCCCCCACTCACAATCCCCACAGCCCGCCTCCGTATCTCTGCTCTCTCTCCTCCCGCATCCCTCGCCCCTCTCCCGCGTGTGAGCAGATAACCGCTTCACATTCCCCATGCAGAAGAAGAGAGAGATCCTGCCTATGGCTCTGAACACTGAGCCGTGGAACCCACGGCCCCGTGGGCAAGGTTAGTCCTCAGATCCGGTCGATGCCTGATCCAGACTTACACTCTCCACTTTTGGGCTTATCGGTGGCAAAGCCTTAATCCCCACCAGGCACTTGGCGCGGAGGCTGCCTCCTGCCCTGCTGTCAGCTGGTGTGTGCGCAGGGAGCGCAGACTCATTTTAATATTGGCTGGATCTAAACCTCATTAGAAAAGTAAATTTGCTGTAGCTGCAAAAAAAAAAAAAAAAAAAAAAAAAAGCAACCCACACAACCCTTCCAAAGCTAAATAGAAAACATTAATTTTGGATTATTTGATTATTTGATGTTATCTGATGCTTTATGCTTCCGGCACCTAGTGCACGGCCTGGAACACAGTAGGTGCTCAGTCAGAGCTGGTGCCAGAGAGCTGAATTTTGAGTGATCCCTGACTACCCTGTCTCCTTTCAGCACGGATTCCAAGAGGTCACGGATTTGAAGTTTTTGTAAGTTTCATGAATTTTTTTAGACAACCAATTGCTGATAAATTGGAGCAATTACATTTAACAATAATTTGACATGAAAATATTATTGTTGTTTGCCAAGGACAATATCAGAAACACTGAAGGGTGCTAATGAGGGGTGCTCTGGGTTCTCTGGGCCCAGCCCAGGCCTGGAGGTGCGGTGAATCAGACAGGTGAGGGCAGGAGGTGGGACAGACTGCAGCGATCCCAATGGGATTGGCTCTAGGGCTGGCTTGGCCAGAGAATTGCCACTCCAAATTCTAGAGCCATCTAGAAGAAGGAGGGGAAGGGTGCATAAAATAAATAAATTAAATTAAAATTCATCTAGCATTTCCTCTAAAAACTGTCTGGTGAGATAAGCGTTCCCCAATTTATAGACCTTCAGGAAACCAGGGCTCAGAGGACTCAGTTTTTCCCAAAGTCCACTAGGCTGGTCGTAGATGGAGCCAAGATGGGACCCCAGACAGTCTGGCTGAGGACCTGGCCATCTGCCCCACTTCCATGTCCCCTTGCTGGTGTTCTGTAGGGTCCCCAAAGGTCTTGCCTGGTGACATGCGGAAAGGGTATCTAAAGGAGGATTCTCTTCTTCCTTCTCCCCAAATGCCAGGTTTCCCCAGACCCCAAACCCTTACCCACTGCACTGCACTCCAGGCCCAGGAGGGAGGGGAGGGACAGGGGCCAGAGAGAGAGAGAGCCCTCAGCACTGGAAGACGGTTGAGGGCAAGGGGTGCCCTGAAGGTCCCTGCACAGTCTCGATGCTCCTGACCTCGCAGCCTGTCCCCTCTTGCCTTTGGGCCTCCCTCTGAAGGCCCCCACATTCATCAGAGCTATGGGAGAGAGTCTTCCTCAGTAGAATGTCCACCTGTTCCACCGAGGGGCCTCCCGCAGGGGCAGACGACCGCCAAAGTGGGAAGTGCATATTGGGGGTGGTTGGAAGTAGGGCCCCTGGCCTGCCCCAAATCACTGCTCTGCATGCCCTGACTGCTGCCCGTGTGTCTCCCCCGTCATCTGCCTTTGTCTCTTGTCTCACTCTGCCTCCTCCTCTGCTGTCTCAGGCTCTCTCAGATGCCTTCTCCTCCTGAGTCCCTGTCTCTCCTGCCCTCCAGTTCTCAGCAGAGAGGCATGCTCAGGCATCCCTTCCAGCTGCACTGGGCCACCATGCTCATCTCCCCAGAGCCTGGGCTCCTGGTCAGTGTATCTTCCTTCACATCCCACACTTGCAAAGCTCCCGGCCTGCCTCATCACCCTGTGTGACAAAACCAGGGAAAGTACAGGTGACTGGGTCCCCTCACCCCCAAGAAACAACTCTGAGAAAACCCAGCTATCTCCAGAAGCCCAAACAAGGAACTGGGCTAGCCCCAAGGCATCTTCCTCTGAAGCCTTCGGTCTCTGCCCTGGGCTCCAATCTTGTTTCTGAAGCTGTTCCCCGCACCCATGGCCCAGTTATTTACCTGCCCCATGCTTCAGGGGGAACAGTGAGTACCTGCTCACCCAGAAACATATGTGCACATATTCAACCCAGCACATGTGAGCTCCTAGCATGCCTGAACCTGGAGTGATTCTCGAGCACCTAAGGATCAGATACAGAAATAGGAGAAGCAGCCACTGGCTCCAGTGCTGAATGGGGCACAAATACATTAACTGTCCCTGTTCTGTTAGCCTTAGCAAGCATTTTTACTTCCGTCAAAAGGGGCAGTGGGAAAATGTCATGCAGTTCCAGAATCTTTGGGGATGATGGGCATAGTCTAGGCAGAGTGGGAAGTCTCCTTGATGGACTCATGGGGAACGGTCCTCCTTCCATGGGCGTGAGACTTGGTCCAGTAAGGCCAATAATGGTAATCAACTAAGCAGGTTCTGGGAGGAAACATCTCAGTCTCTATAGTGGATATTGGCAGAGGTAGGGGGATAGAAGGCACAGAAGACAAGTCTTAGAAAACCCTAGAACAACCGCCCTGTGCAGCTGCATGGCCCAGCAACCCTAGTAACTTAGGAAGCTGTGTGCTTCCCATTGCCACATGAACACAGTAGTTTCACGGTGCTATGCACTAGCACATCACAGCCCATCACTTTAAACAGTGCATGCCACACAACCCTAGCTCAGGGTCCCACTGGGTACCCCACCCACACTGTTACTCATGCAGACAGAGCACACCCCACAAGCACGGGGCTAGCAACTGCCAGCAAAAGGCCCCCTTCAGAGTCTGCAATAGAAATGTCTGGAGTCCCTGAGCTCCAGCTTCTACAAGAAGCCATCCAGCTGGTGCATGCCTGACACCAGGCCTGACCAGAGGGCAGGGAGGGGAAGGGAGGATGTCAAGACCCCCCTGTGTGTGTAAGGGAGGGGGAGGCTGTCGGTCTCTTAGCTGCTTGATAGGAGGTTTTCACCCCCTTTCCCTGGCACTGTGGGATCCGGTGGCTTCCTTCTTTCTTCGTTCCTGCCTCCACTCTCAGCTTCCTTTTTTAAAGTTGTATGTTCTGACTTCTGACTTCGGAGGGATCAGGACCTCAGGCCTGAGCCCAGAGGCAGCCTGGAGGGTGGTGAACTGGTCATGCCTCCTTCCTCCTCGCTACAATGAAGGTCCCACGGACCCTTTGCAGCCCTTGCCACCTCTGGGCCCCTCTGCCTGCCCCCAGAGCTGGGGTTTTCTGAAGAGAGTTAACTTGGCAGTGCCCAGGAGCTGCAGGTCGGATGGCGATGACTGTTGGGGGACAGGGGGCAGCGTAGGGGTGCAGGGCACCAGGAACCACCTGCTGAGGTGGCCAGGGACCACCAGCTAAAAGCCCAGGCCAATTATTAGAAACTGCTAAGAACCAGCTCTTCCCTTAACCCCGTCCGAGGAGGGCAGGCAGTGCCCAGGTTTTGTTCCGCAGCCCCTGGGAGGCAGCGCCCCCAGCCCGCCTCCGTTTTCGGCCCCCTTTCCAGCTGCCCCCACTGCGCGCACAGCACACACACACACACACACACACACACACACACACCACGCGCGCGCCCGAGAGGACATGGCGTGGGTACTGATGGGGACGCATAAAGGGGCTCTGTGCGCGGCGCGGCGCCCGCGGGGGGCGCGGGGCGCGGGGAGCACTGACCTGCGGCAACGAGTCCGGATAGTCCCAGGCGCGGTCCATCGCGGGCGGCGGCCCCTACGCCCCGGCCCCGGCGCCCCCAGGCTGCAGTCCTGGGCCGCGCGCGCCTCCCTCCCCGGGTGCTCTTGGGCTCCGGGCCCCCGGGGGCCACTTCATAGCCGCGGGGTCCGCGCGCCCGCCCGCCCGCCCGCAGCCCCGCCCGGCCCCGCCGCCCGGCCCGGCTCCTTCTGGGCGCAGCGAGGCGGCGGCCAAAGCCTGGGAGCGCGCGGGAGGGCGCAAGCGGGGAGG